AAGTTGGTGTGGGCTCAGTGCTGTGTTTCATTCATGTTTGCTGGGCTGCTTGTATGGTTTTGAGGGTTGGGCCTATCCTAAGTTGGACGGACCAGCCGCTGTTTTTTTCTGGGGTTTCTGAACAGGAGGACGGGCGCCCTAAGTTGGGATGTCTCAGAATCCTGGTGTTTTTTTCTATGGGTTGCTGAAAACAGGACTGGGAGCACTCTAAGTTGTGTGGACTCAGTTCTGCGTATGTTTTTTTCTGAGGGGGACACAGGCATGAGGCTGAGCGTACCCTTAAGTTAGGGCGGCTCAGTCATAAGCCAGGAACACAAAGGCCAAYCGAAGTATACAATTTTGATACATACTATACGAACCTATATCATCTGGCAGACCSGGCACCCTAAGTTGGGAAAGCCAGTCAGTAAGTCAGGTAGAACAAGAAGAGGAGGAAAGATATGAAGAATATAACGAAGGTAACCTGGGCAGGCTGAGTGTACCCTTAAGTTAGGGCGGCTCGATCCTATGCTCGTAATAAGACAAAGGATCAGCGAGTTAGTATAAATTTGTTTTATTTTCTCTTCTAAACACAAGGCAGGGTTGGATGTCTCCCTAAGTTGGGTAGGTCTGACCCTCTGCCTAATAAGAGAGAAACACATATAGTTTGTGCACTTATCAATGGTTGTTTTTATATGATTGTCGTTACGGAGGCTAAGCGTACCCTTAAGTTAGGGCGGCTTAGTCATACGTCGTTGTACTTTGTTCAGACAGTTCCTGTCTTATGTAACTATAATTGTTTAGGCCAGCTAGGCGTACCCTTAAGTTAGGGCGGCCTGGTGATAGGCTCTTGTCGTTGATGTGATGTAGGTTGGACGTACCGTTAAGTTAGGGCGGTCTGACCATTCGTCGTTCGTACTTGTCTGTAGGTTGGACGTACCCTTAAGTTAGGGCGGTCTGACCATTCGTCGTTCGTACTTGTTCTAGGTAGGTTAGGCACACCCCTAAGTTGGGGCAGTCTAATCCTATGCCCTATGTAGCTTTGTGTAAAGTTGGCTAGGCATACCCTTAAGTTATGGCAGTCTAGGTTTACGCTTCATGTCGTCATTTCAAGCAGAAGCCAGACGTACCCTTAAGTTAGGGCGGTCTGGTCATATGCTTTATGACTAGAGTTTATCTGGAGTTGGGCATACCCTTAAGTTAGGGCAGTCCAGTTGTGCGTACCTTTACTTGTTTACTTAGGCAGGTTGGACATACCCTTAAGTTAGGGCCTTGTCTGATCCTATGCCATAAGTGAGGGGGATATTGAAAGGGAACAACTGAGCGATCTAACGAACTACCTGGGCAAATGTATGTGGGATTGTGAGAGATGCATGCTCATGTATGATTGTAGGCTCTCACTTGGGTGTCCTTCGATATGGTAGTTGCTGTAAATGCTCGCCAAGTGTTGGAGCCATAGGTAGACTAGATGGATGATGGGAGGGAAACTTGGGGTGAAGGTAGGACTGACCCTGCTGGGAGTTAGGCCCAGTGCTGGCCCACAACCTCAGCTAGAGGTTGTGTTGGCTGTCATTGAGTCTGAATCATTAAACAGATGTCAGAAGTTAGTCCCAAGTATAGTTGTTTTGTCTTTCTGCTTTTTTCAGCTTCGTATAAATCTTGGCAGCCCCCTGTTCCTACGGGAAGCGCTGCCGAAATTTCTACAAATCTGGAGGAGTTAGTCATTTTTGGGCTCATAAAATTTCTGAAAAGGCACTTTTCCTACGGGAAGCGCTACCGAAATTTCATAGATTTTAGGGAGTTAGAATAATTTCCAGTCAGGAGTTACTTAGCAGATCCATTCTGATTAGAGGAGATACTTGGTGACGTGGTACTAGTAGAGGAGCTAGGATACGACTAGGGGGATTGTTCTCCCCTTGGCACAGGTATAAGTAGTATTTTCCTTTGGCCTGTACTGTGATGCAGGTTTCCGTGTTGTCATTTGGAGGCTTGATCTGATGAGCCTATTCCTTCAAAAGGATCATTCTTCTATTATTACCGATAGCAGGTCGGTTGGCGATTCGTCGGTTTACGACTCAACCCCAATTTACCCTCAAAAAGGCTTTGGCCCTGGTGATTTTATTGTTTTGTTGAGGTTTCACCCAGACTTTTACTGAATGGCCATTTAACAAAAGTACTGAGTACTTACTTATGGTTGGTTGGCTGGAGGTTGGGGCTTGCATAGCTGAAGCACAGGGTATGAGTGGAGAGGTTGGTTGGAGCTGACCCCGTGTAGCGTGTGGATCTTTGCTTGATTCTGTGATGTGATTGCAGGTATGTATGAAAGAGTATCATCCGAGTTATGTTGAGTGATCGTGTCTTGGATTCAGATGGGCAACCCACATAACCGTCGTGAGAGTGGACTACCCCACAACCTTTGTGCTTGAGTGAGACTGATTTGTACCTGTCCTGATGAAGTAAGCGTACGTTCGGGTAACCCCTACAGGGCTAATCCCGACGATGTCCTTTCTGTTGGTGTTGAGAACAGTTGTTTTTTATTATTATTTATTTATCCTTGTTTAAAATTAATTTGGTCGAACGATAAGGTTCCGGACGGAAGGGTTAGCGTGTCGTTGGTGATGCGCCAGACGACTCACCACCGCTCCAAATTCCTTCCTGCCCTAGGGGCCGTCTTACCTCGCACCCTTTGAGACACCTTAGGGTGCAAAAGACGGAAAGGCCCTCAGGCCGGTTTTGCACCCGCTAAAGGGTTACCTCCCCTTAGCGCGCGCTTCAGCCAACGCCTGAGCGTCGGGAGCCACCCCATGGCCCAGAATAGGCCATTCGGGTATGGGCACCACACAATGCGTCGTCATCGCTTTATCTGCGTAGGACTGCATTATAAATCGGTATGCGTGGGTCCTACGTTCGAGCGATCTTATACTAAACCTCGCGCAAGGCAGTTACCGATTCCCACTGCGTAGAGTTAGGGGTTGGATACTGAAGGGACTAGGAGTGTTGTTGTGTTGTGGTGTTATTTGTGGAGATTGTTGTGTGTGTGTCCGTATGCTATGCGTGGGTAAGCGTGGGTGTTATAGTGTAACGCGTGGGTGTGTAGTGCGTCCTAGTCGACTGGCGCCGAATTGCGTTTGGGACTTCAGCCCCAAGTACGGCAATTCGCGTACGGGTTCGATTTTTGGGCGTTCGACCGCGCGTACCCCCTATGCTACAGAGAGCGAGAAACGCCCTCGGCTGGGCCACCTTTGCAATTGCATACGAAAAGCTTTCGCATGTGGTTCAGTAGCTCGGCAGGGATACGCCCACCTAAGGGATGGTGACAGCTCCCGCAGGTGGAGGTAGCGGTGCCTCGCGTGACTCTGTCCTGTCGTAGGGGCTCGCGAGAGGTACGGCTGGCGCACTCGGCCGGAGCGGCAAACTCTCTCCGCGACAAGTTCTGCATAATCCTGCGTGACGCGGCCGAGAGGGTCCCCGTGTGGGACCGATGCACTCGACAGGTGGCACCGTTGCCGGGGATCTCGACGGCCTACCGGGGTCCTTAAGAGAACGAACCCAGGTTAAGTGCAGGCTGATGATCTAGGCAAAACAACAAAGGTTATAGGTTGAATTGGCTTATATAAGAGGGATGTATATGAAGTCATAATAAGACTAAGTGGTGTATAATGAGACTAAAGGTTGTATCTCGGGCGTGAATGACTATGGTAGAGCGGTCAGCTAAACTTAAGGGTAGGATGGTCAAGAAGGACGTAGGGCAAACCCTCTAAACTTAACGAACTGCTTACCGATCTATCCCTTGTTACTCCTGTTAGGTTGGTTAGCAAAAAAAGGTGAAGATGCCGGACGCTGATGAAATCGAGCGTGGCCCGGCCGCTACGCCAGAGGATTTTGTCAAGGSACTCGAGAAAAGGGAGTTGGCACGACTTCAAGTGCCGAAAGTTAACATCKTCCATTTTAATGGGGACAAAGTATCCGAGTGGCTGGAGCTGCCGGAGCAGGTTACGGTCGAGGTGCCTGAGGCAGATAAATTCAAGTTCCTACCCAGGTACGTCTGGTGGGAAACTCGGCCCGAGGTAATGAAGGTGGCTGCTGGAGCAGGAGGAGACTGGGCTAAGTTCAAGGCAGAAATGCAGAGGCGGTTCAAGTTAGGGGATGGCTTGTTAACGAAGACAGATTTGGAGATGTTACAGCAGGACGAGTTCTCCACGGTGGGAGCTTTCGCAACGGCATTTGAGAAGATGGCCAAGAAAGTCCCCGGATTGGCGGAAGAAGAACAATGTGCCACTTTCCTGGGGCACTTCAAGAATTGGGAGGCCTCGTCGCTAACCAAGAAGGCTGCGCCGGGAAAGAAGCTCACTTGGGCCGCCATAAAGGAGGGCGTAATAGAAGGAGAGTTGGACCAAGTAGACATTTTCCAAATGCGACAGGCTAGGAAGAAAAGAAAGGCCTTGGACGCCACGACGAGCGGCGGGCGAGACTTTGAGAAACTGATAGAAGATGCAGTGGCCAGCTCGATGCAGAGAAAGAGGCAAAAAGGAAAACTGTGGCGGCACCACAGACCCAAGGGAAGGCAAAGAAAGCAGTGGTGCAGGAGGAAGAAGAAGAGGAAGAGGAAGAGGAGCCTGAGCCATAGAAGTTGACCAAGGCTCAGAGAAAGGCAAGGAACTTGGCTCAAGGGGGGCAGGGCTCAGGAAAGGGGCAGGTCCCGCAAGCTGTAGCCATGCCACCTCCTGAGTCGCCCAGTCAGGCTGCACCAGCTCACTATGGGCCATGGCCAGGTTGTGGACCTTCGAGTCATTGGCATAGGCACTGTTCATAAGCCCCGTGGCCAATGAGCGGGCCGCATGGGTCGTGCGCCGGACCATCAGTGAGCGCGGCTTCCTGTGGCTGCCCAGGACCCCAAGCCCAACAAGTAAGCCATCCAGCCCCACCGCCAACCCAACCCCAGCAGCCCGCCCCACAAGGGTCGCAAGGCAATCAAGGCGGTGAACGAGGACAGAACCAAGGATGGGGCCAAGGGCGAGAAAATGGTGGCCGGGGAGGAAACGGCAAAGGAAACGGTGGTGGAAACTCTACAGGTGGAGGAAATGGGGACTGGACTGCATCTGGGAGTCAAGGCGGTCAAGAGGGTGGAAGAGGTGCTGGCAGAGGGAGAGTAGACTGGAGAAATGCCATTTGCTGGCATTGTGGGCAGAAAGGCCACACTATTAAGTTCTGCCACGTTAGGAGGAACGATGAGGACGAAGGTTTAATTAGCACCAACTCTGATGGAGACATGTACGCCAAGTGGGGGTACCACCTTGACCCGAAGATTCTAGGCGGTACGAGGAAGGAAGCCCTGCGAAGGGCTGAGGCCGGTGAGCCACCTGTACCTCAAGCCATGTTTCGGATATGGCAGGAGAAAGAGGTCCGTAGTAACGTCAGGGTGGAGGAGGTAGGAGAGAACGCAGAGGTGGAGCAAGAAAGGAAGGCCGACACTACTAAGACAAAACCGATCATAGTAGAGTCCGACGATGAGATTGAGGAAGATTGTTGGAACAGGCCGCTGCGTGCTTAGACAGGGGAAGATTATTGGAGAACGGACCGACAGACAATGGAGAGAATGGAGGACCTGATAGACAAAGTCGGGAGATACCAACAGAAGTTGGCTGATATGTGCGAAGAAGTCAAGGAGTGGCAAGGTAAGGAGCCATCGGTACACCTCTACGACCTAGGTCCGGGATCGCAAGGAGGATCCGGGAATCTACCAAACGTCAAGACCTCAGGAGCGACGCCTTGATCCGGAATGACTTTCAGACCACCTTCCCGGACAGGGAGGGTGCCATACGCCGTCAGAACGAGGGCGAAAGGGCCAATGATTCCCGAAGAACCAGCCAAGGATGTTCCAGAACCAAGTGGAGAGAAGGAAGTTGTGGACATTCCAGAGGGAGAGAATGATGAGGATGACAGGTTGAGGAAAGAGGAGGATGAGAAGGGTGAACAACGAGCCAAAAAGAGAGGTGCCTAGCCGGACACAGACAAGGCAAAGGAAGTAAAGAAGAAAAGGTATGCGGTCCGCGTAGAGGAAGGGTTCGACGTAGAAGAGATAATGGAAAGGATTCTCGAAGGTCATAACCATCTTATAAACCTGAAGGATGTCCTGGCCTTAGCGCCTAGGCTCAGAGATGAGCTAAGAGCGAGACTATCCAGGAAGATGGTAGCCAGCATACGATTAGGGACTATAATCCCTAAGGAGGCTGGGTGGGCTGAGACGGGTACTAAGATGGACTGGAAGTCTGTCGCCTGTGGCTGCCTCGACGTTGTGGTAAAAAGGAAGACATGCACCGCAATGGTGGACAGTGGAGCGAAAATGAACCTCATAAAGGAGGAACATGCCGTACGGCTTGGAATGGAGATAGACCGCTCTGACAACGGGGTTTTGATGGGGGCCAATAGCCGATCGATATTCATTGGGACCGCGTCGTCAGTAATAATGGAAATTGGAAAGGTGAAAGTAAGGAGCTGCTTCTTTGTGATGCCTGACTTGGACCACCCTATTCTACTTGGGAGATCGTTCGATCTCCCAAGTCGGACAAAGACGGTCATCCTCAACAAACACGATGGAACTATGTTCCTTGTCCTGTGTGACCCCGTATGCAGGAACTAAGAGGTCATCACTTGCAAGAATATAGGACCCAAGAGCGTAAGGAACCGGCCCAACCCCGGTTCGTTCACGATTGAAGAGTCAGAAGAAGAAAGGCTAAGGATCGAAGCCAGCAAGTATGAGGAGAGAAGAGAGCCAGAGGCGCTGACTCTAAGCTTGGTGAACATAGGTGATGCTATGGACATAGTGTCAACCTATGGGATGGCGGACCCCGAGGCTGTGGAGGCCTTGAGAGAGAAGGTAGTGGAGCAAATGGGTGCGGGAGAGATGGAATTCGTATATCGAACACCTGGTCAGACAAGTGGAGAGAGTGGAGCGCAACCCCAGAGCGCAACTCGGCCTTTTTTAGGGGTGGGCTCAAGCAGGGCGCCCAAAGGCGGTACAAAAGGGTAGACCAAAAATGTCGCCCCGTTCCCGTACTCGTTACTGAAGAACATGAGGTATACTACGAGCGGGAGCGAGAGTTGATACGGCAGATGCGAGAAAGGGCGGAAAGTGGACCATGCCGTATCAATGCCGAGACAGAGAAGGCGCTGATCATAGGGGAGCATGGCTTTCTTACTGCGCAGGAGGAAAAGCTGGTGGTGGAAGCCATAAGAGGAAGGCATGCGGCATATGCCTTCAGTGATGATGAGAGAGGCTGACTGGACGTGGATATTATCCCAATGATTAGGATACATACCGTACCCCACGAACCATGGAACTTGCGAGGTGCGCGGTATCCTAATCCCGCTGACGAAGAGAAGGTGGTCAACTATCTTGATGGGAAGATCCGCACTCATGTGGCAGAATACTCGAGCGGACCGTATGCGGCCCCATGGTTTTGTTTTGTCAAACCCAATGGGACACTGAGGTGGGTACAGGATCTACAGCGCCTGAATGCTGTGACGGTGAGGGACGCAAGTGGTCTCCCCAACGCTGATGCGCTTTCGGAGGCATGCGCTGGGAGGGCCATCATATCCCTCATTGACTTGTATTCAGGGTACGATCAGTTCCCTGTATACCCGTCGGACCGGCCTATGATAGCCATGCATACCCCTCGAGGGCTGATCCACATGAACGTCGCACCGCAGGGGTGGACGAATGCGGTCGCTATGGTCCAGCGGCACATGGTGAGGGCGATGCAGCCCAGACGTAGGGCCAACTGCTATGGGAGGTGTGTTAATCCAGCGAGATCCCAACGGGGAGGAACGACCATTAAGGTTTGAGAGTCGGACGCTCAATACGTCTGAGAGGAATTACTCTCAATTCAAGCGCGAGACCTTGGTGGTTCTTCATTGCTTGAGGATCTTCAGGAATTACCTTTTCGGCAGCAGGTTTGTACTAAGGGTGGACGCTACAGCATTGGCCGGCTCTCTCAAGAACTTCGCTCCTTCAGATCCAACTATCGCCAGATGGTTGACGTACATCTGGATGTTTGACTTCGAGATGAAGCGAATTCCAGGGAACAAGAACAGGGCGGACGGGCTGAGTCGAGTCGACTGGGACAAAAACCATCAGGGAGTGATTGAGGATACTCCACCAGTCGACGGATTTTTGGACAACGAGGAGGATGTGAGACTTCACATCAACTCCTGGGCATTGGCCGTGGGTAAGTACGTTACTCCTGGGCGACCTGTATGGCTTGCGCCTCCGGGACATGTACGACGACCAGACTTGGTCCTCAAACCCTATATTGAAGAAGATTCTTGGGGAATGTCGGGCGTAGGTTGGATGATGGAGTTGGCTTTAGCTGGCAAGTACGAGCTGCAGGAAGACCCGCTTACAATTGAAAATGGGGCGCTACAGGTGGGTAAGCACGAGAAGATGATAGGTGGGGTGTACCTGCTGACAAATGCATTGCTTCAAGAAGAGACGGTCAGAAATACAGTACTAGATCAGGAAGAGGTGGTAGAGCCGGGAGGAGGTGACAATGTGATCCACGAGAGGGAGGATGATGACTTTGAGGAAGGTGAGATTAAAGAAGCATTTCGAGCAGAGGAATACGAGGGAGTATACCTTGAACTCGGCATGCTTCTTTCGTGCGAGATGAGGGAAAGGGATGCTTGCGCGCGGGTTCTGAAGATGAGGCCAAGTTTCCTGGTAAGAGACGGTCATCTGTTCATGAGAAGTAAAGGAGGAGATCCCAGAAGAGTGGTTTGCGGCCTCGCCCGCCAGATTGACATTATGGCGGCGCTGCACGACGGTACGGCAGGTGGCCACAGGGGTGCAGATACGACGTATCTGAAGATCCACGAGTTGTACTATTGGGATGGCATGGGGCAGATGATTGATGACTATTGTAAGTCTTGCATGCCATGCCAGGAACGGTCTGCTCTCAGACCCAGGGAGCCGCTGCACCCAAGGTACGTTCGTGAGGTTGGAGCAGTCGTGCACTTGGATCTATTGGCAATGCCGTTGGGGATAGGGAGCTACAATTTCATCTTTGATGCACGGGACAACCTCTCGAGGTTTGTGGATGGCAGGGCCATTTGCACGAAGACTGGAGAGACATTGGCCCAATGCATGGAAGAGTATTATCTTCGCTACCCCTTTGTGTCCAGATTCGTGATGGATAGAGGGTCCGAGTTCACATGTGCAAAAGTGAAAGCTCTTTTGAAGAAGTATGGGGTAATCGCTGAGTACACTACTGCAGCGCACCCTCAAGCCAACGCACCTGTAGAGAGGGGGCATAGCACCATCACAAATCTTTTTGCCAAGTGGACCGATGGCAGGCCCAACCAATGACCAAATTTTCTAAGGGTCGCGTTTTTCGTGGATAACATCACTATCAGGAGGAACACTGGTTATGCACCGGCTACGCTATGGAACGGTAGGCATGCGACGTTTCCCATTGAAAGCTTCCTGAAAACCTGGAGGCGACAGGACCTCGAGACTGATCTGACCTTTGAGGAACTGCTGGATTTGAGGGCACGACAGATCGACGCTATTGAGGACAAGATTGAGGAGGCAGCAAGTAGGACCACGGACAACCGTACCAAGGACAAGTTTAGGTGGGATAAAATGGCGAGGGTAAGAAAGGAGCCTCTCAAGGTGGGAGACATTGTGCTGTTGTATGACTCGTCCCTGGAAAAGCAGTGGTCGCGGAAGTTGGATAAGAGGTGGTTGGGGCCTTACAGGGTCACCAGATGTGGTGAACATGGTGCCTACCAAATCGAAGAGCTGAACGGGACGGGATGGAAGGACTGGGTGTCAGGCTCGAGGCTAAAAAGGTTTGTGGCTCGAGACGAGGTGAGCAGGGGTCCCACCACTTAGAGTCATCTAGTGGCTACTTCGGGTGCTGCCCTCAGTAGAATAGCGTGATAGGTTGTGGTTAGACTTGCATGTGTGTATGACTATGTATGCGTGTGTGTGTGTAGGTAGGTAGTTGAGATAGGTGTGGGAGGGTTATGTCTGTCTCCTGTTGTGTTTTGTCTGACATCGCTTACCCTCTGTGTGCTTCTGTTCGCCTCTTCCCTGTTGTGCAGGCTTGATACCGCTTGGGGCAGCCATGCCAAGAGGAAGGGGAGGGGCAGGGCCAGTGGAAACCCATTTGGGGGCAACCCGACAGAGGACGCAGATGAGGACCAGGAGAGAGGACAGGCCTCCATAGGGAGGGAACATTGAGCTGTTCCTAATGGAGTTCGAGCGGCATGCGAGAGAGTTTGGATGGGACAGCACCAGGATGTTGAGAGAGGTGCGAGGCACAGGCGAGTGGGCGGACCCTATTGCTAAACTGGTCAGAGAGTCGCTGAGCTGGAAAGACTTTGGACGGAGGATGGAGGGTTTGCATCCGTCACCACTGGGAAGGGATGGACAGCCCATTCGATTCGACTCCACTAATCTGGGGGAGTTCTTATGGGCTTATGATCGATATGCGGATGAGCTCTGTATCCCAGGAGAGCAGAGASTGGGGAGCTTCCTGTTGTTTGTAAGACACCATATCAGACCCTTCGTACGATCCATGGTGGCATCTGCCATGAACTGGGGGCACTGCAAGAAGCTGCTATAGAACTATTATACTCCAGCTCGTCAGGCAAGTGAGAGGAGAGGTGTGGAAAAAAAGAGAAGGGAACTTGAGACAGAGGCAAGGGGAACCTTTGAGCAGGGCGCGTCACCAGGGGCTCAGAGGGAGGAAAGGAGGAAGGAACACAAGTCCCACCGACATGAGAGAGCAGAGGGGTCCGATGGTTCAGACGCACCTCCACAACCTGCTCAGAGGGAGATGGATGGCCCCATGCCTGACGCAGAGCCAGACATCCCTCATGGGCCGCATACGCAGGAGCTGAGGGAGGAACCGTTTGTTGATGAAAAGGAGCTGGACAGAGAAGAGAGGGCGGCAAGGGAATTGGAGATCAGGACTCAACTCCGAAAGAAGAACCTGGCAGAACTGCATGAGAGGATGTAGCAAGAAAAGGCGCCTGAGGAGGTGGAGGACAGAAAAGGAAAGGGTACCTGCACTCAGGAGGAGGACCCTCCTCTGTTCTCAGAGGTCTTGATGGGCTTCGATAAGCTGATGGACGCCACAGGAAGATCAGGTGGACAACATCAGGAGATGGGGGTTAAGTTGGTCTCTACAGACCTGCTCAACCTAAGGAGCGTGATGAGAGAAGGCTTCGCAGCAGCAAGGACCTCAGATCAAAAGATTGGGGACAGGCTGACAAAGGTGGCACAAAAGGCTTATGGCCAGAGGGCGGACTGGGAGAGAGAGGCTGAGGGCCTGAAGAGGGAGCTGGGAAGACAGGGCAAAGAGTTGGCAGCAGTAAAGGCGGACATGGAGAGAGTCTCAGCAGAGAATGAGGCCGTCAGACAAGTCAACCAGACCCTTAACAAGGTCACTGACGCGCTGAGGGCCTATTTGTGTACACAACTGACCTTCTTCCAGGTTAAGGAGACTGAGTGGGAGAAAAGAATTTGAAACCTCGAAGCCAAGTATACCCAGCAAGCTCCCACAAGAGTGGTGGATTGGACAGAGGTCCAAAAGTTCGAAATCAGGGGACAACCTGCAGAGGAGGTCTTCAAGAAGTTCAAGAAGGAAGTAGAGATGGCGGACCAGCAGGAGGGTGAGGAGATCCCTCTGATCGACAAAGAGATGTTGGAGCAGCCAGGAGTGCTTGTGGAAAAGGGTGCCGAGGTCGGAGAGTTTGAGTGGAGGTTACCTGCTGGCCTGACACTGGGACACGAGCCGGCAGTACCACAGGAGGGACCACCAGTTGAGGCAATGAGAGTTGGGGAGGTTCCACCTACTATTCGGAAAGAGGCTGCGGGACAGCAGGAGGGTCAGGAAAGTGTGGGCCAGACCATGGTTGGGACTGAGCCGGGAGTGGACCTGAGGGACTGTCAGGAGTCAACCATGCTTCAGGAGGTGCCAGTTGCTACAGATTTGCGAGGTGTACTGGGATCTTGGGCCACTGAGTCAGGGCCAGAGGGGCGTGTTGGGGAGCTGGGGATGCCAGCAGATAACAGAGCAGCCTGCCCCGCTTCCTCAGGGGTCCCACAGCAGGAGGTTACGAGCAAGATCTCAACAACCCCGTCATCTGTAGCCTCGCTGGAAGGAGACAAGGTGTCCCAGAAAAAACTTGGCAAGTGCTTTTATTGCAAGAGGGGCAAACATCGATCAGACGACTGTCCCAAGAGCCTCAAGGACGAGGCAAATGGATTGTGTACCAGGGAATCGTCCGGGGTATGGAGAGAGAGAAATGGAAACCTAGTCCCTAAGACTCGTGATGGGGTAAGGGCGCAGTTGTATAGGCAGCTGCAGGAGGTCATGAGTGATCAGGAGTAGGATTTTCCAATAAGGTCCGGAAAGGTCTGAGTCTAACATGTGCGGGACTTCTCTGACTCACAGACTGGTGACTACTTGTATATAGAGAGATATGTGGAGGGTTGGATCAGACCCATGTACATCAGTAGACTGAGCCAGTAGTGAGGTGTTACGTCGTGTTATAGACTTGAGAACCTTTTCATGTACATAAGATAACGCTGAGTATGACATTGACAATTTTTTTTCTTTTTTTTCTCTAATGTGATGTAGAGTGTTAATGTCCTTATAGAATAACGCTCATGAGTGTGGAGCGGCCGTCGAGTTCCGATACTTCGACGCTTGACTACCTTGATTCCTTATGGGATACCTGAACTCCTTGTATAATATTTTAAGTTCTATAATAAGGACGAGAGCCTTTGCACAGTGCGGGGCCCCATGTCTTGGGTGTACACACGAGTATCAAACCTTGTCTTTATGTGGTGTGTGTCGTATCACTCTCACTCTCAGTTTGTGGATTTGCCCATATGGATGATGGTGTGGTGAGATGAATATTGTGGAATGAACTGATCTGCGTTTCTTCCACTGTACTTACGCCTCTCTGTCCCCATGACAAGTGGAGCTGGGAGTATAATGGAAGGAAGTGTTCTCAAATTTTGGAGACAATGATGACATGATGTATTATGCCCAGATAATGATGAATGGAATGGTCACAACTAAAAGTTGTGTTTTTTTTTACGATTGGAAAAGAGAGAGGGAAGTCCACTGGCTGATTGGGCTTTCTTAAAAGGATGAAATTTTGGGAGAGCACTCAAAAGAATCGCTATAAGTGATGATAATGTTTGTATGTATGTAAAAGTCTGACGAGGAAAGACCAGATATTTTGTGAGACTCATTGATGAAAATCTCTGGCAGTTATGCTGAAACTTTGAAAGGTATTGTGAGTATCCCTAAAAGACGTGTGACCTTACCTGCTTTTGATCAAAGTAAAGGAGGCACGACCCTGTGGAAGTTCTGAGGATCTTTGTTGGAATATTAAGAAAGGCACTACCCCTCCACGTAGTCTTGTAGGCAGTGGCACGTGATCCTTTGCGTATTATTGTGAGAGAAAACGGCAGACCACGATGGGTTAGTCTAAGGGACGTATTGTGAGGCCGAGCTGAGGGGCTATACCTAGCATCGCTGGAACTGTAGAACCTAACTCCGAGCGAGGGCCGCTGACCGGCGCAACCTGGCAGCGGGACCATGGCTTACCAAAGGTTAAGTCTTGAAGGGTCGGCCGCCTGGAGAGGTTTAGTTGGAGGGAAGGTCATTGGGGTCGATTAGGTTGAGAGTCAGGACCCTTTCCGGGTGCCAAGATAGGAAGAGTTGCTTATCGTTGCGTAACCAATGAGGGCACCATCGCTACATAACAACGCGGTGGGCCGTGGATTCGGCGTGATCGACCGGTCCATGGTGGGCCAAGATGGAGACCTGAAGCCGCCTGTGTTAGACTCCAGGCTGGGCGTTCGTGTGAATTGAAATGGTAGATACTACCATGTGGGCGGTTGAAAGCGCCTTGTGTTTTGAGAGGTCTCGATTAGGGCCCGCGTCCTAAGTTATGACCCCGTTCGCGGGACGATGACTAAATAGGACACCCAACGGTGAACTGGCAGAGGTCTACGACGAAGGGAGAGGACTATCAACCTACTACCTGGGAGCGGGTAGTACGCTGTAGTACGGAACAAAGTATCCCCTAGCTCCGAGGCCAGGACGTGGGAGACCCAGGTTATAACCCTGGCAGTGGAACGTCGTGACGGGAGCAAATTGATAAGACAACCTCGAACAGAGTCGAGCCGGTGAACCGGATTGGTTGCTTCCTTGTCAGCAAGATGTGTTTGTGCTTATAGCTTGATTGTCTGACGCGACTGGGACGTCGCTTAATAAGGTCCGGAAATCTGTCGGCCCGAATACCCTTACAAGGGTATTTGGGCACGTTTTTGCAACTCGCAGGAAGGTCGCGCTTGATGACAGCTGAGGGCGCGCCCCATTGGTATTCATTAGAGAGTGTGTGGGCGTGCACTTCGTGGGCACGCGTTAGCTTGACCAAGTCTGGGTCGAGGAGGACCATGAGACGCCGGTAGGACAGGTCAGAGCTAAGCTAGATTTTCTGTTGGTGTTAGGAACAGTTGTTTTTTATTATTATTTATTTATCCTTGTAGAAAAAGAAGAGGAAGAAGAAGAAGAAAAAAAAAAGGGGTGCAGGCTATACCTGCGTCAGCGGTACTTACCTGGGTGCCATAGCCGTGCTCCACGCTAGCGACCTGCAGAACAACAAAACCAACAACAGCAACAACAACAACAACAACGATAAGAACAACAACCACAACAACAACAAAAACAACAACCACAACAACAACAACAAGAGGAAGAGGAAGAAGAAGACGAGGGGAGGAGGCCATACCTGAGTCAACGGAAATTACCTGGGCACCATAGTCCTGCTCCATGCTGGCGACCTGCACAACAACAGCAAGAAGAAGAAGAAGAAGAAGAAGAAGAAGAAGAAGAAGAAGGAGAGAGGCGGATGCGGTACTAAACTGTTCGCTCAACACTAGCGACCTGCACAACAACAACAACAACAACAACAACAACAACAACAACAACAACAACAAGAGGAAGAAGAAGAAGTAGAAGAGGGGCGAAGGCCATATCTGCGTCAACGGCACTTACCTGGGCGCCATAGCCGTGCTCCGCGCGGGCGACCTGCACAACAACATCAAGAAGAAGAAGAAGAAGAAGAAGAAGAAGAAGAAGAGGAAGAGGGGAGGAGGCCATACCTGCGTCAGCGGTACTTACCTAAGCGCCATAGCCGTGCTCCACGCTGGCGACCTGCACAACAACAACAACAACARCAAGAAGAAGAAAAAGAAGAAGAAGAAAAAGAACAAGAAGAAAAAGAAGAAGAAGAAAAGAAGAAGAAGAAGAAGAGGAAGAAGTAGAAGAAGAAGAAGAAGAAGAAGAAGAAGAAGAAGAAGAAGAAGAAGAGGACGAAGACAAAGAAGAAGAAGAACAGGGGCGGAGGCCATACCTGCATCGAAGATACTTACTTGGGCGCCATAGCCGTGCTCCACGCTAGCGATCTGCACAACAACAACAACAACAACAACGACAACAACAACAACCACAAGATGAAGAAGAAGAAGAAGAAAAAGACGAAGAACAGGAAGAAGAAGAAGAGGAAGAAGAAGAAGAAAAAGAAGAAGCAGGAGGAAGAAGAAGAAGAAGAAGGAGAAGAAGAAGAAGAAGAAGAAGAAGAAGTAGAGGAAGAAGAAGAAGAAGAGGAAGAAGAAGAAGAAGAAGAAGAAGAAGAAGAAGAAGAACCACAAGAGAAAGAAGAAGAAGAAGAAGAAAAAGAAGAAGAAGAAGAAGAAGTAGAGGAAGAAAAGGAAGAAGAAGAAGAGGAAGAAGAAGAAGAAAAAGAAGAAGAAGAAGAGGAAGAAGAAGAAGAAGAAGGAGAAGAAGAAGAAGAAGAAGAAGAAGAAG